GAATAACCTTTTGGAAGTAACCGCAAGGCGACTTAGGACCAAAAAATTTTTCAAAAGTACCACAAGCCTTGAGCCATTCAGCAGTTGCCTCTTTTAGGCTATCTGGGTTCTTTAAGTCCTGAGTCGCTAGAGTAGGTGGCATGGTGGTGACTCTAAAAAAAAAAAAAGGAAAACTAAGGTCAAACGCACTGTATACACGTTTCTCTCGCAAGTTATGGGTCGTTTCATTTCCAGCCTGTTGTTGAGAAGCTGACTAACACGTAGTATATTTCTGCTCAGTCAAATCCTGCTTTTCGAATCTGAGGCTTGACATGTCTCCGTAATAGATTCGAGGTTCTCAAGACGTTTTTTCCGAAATGCTCTTACGGTCATTACGGCATTTCAGTATGTCGGTCCAGTTAAGGTGAATCAAGAGTCCTTTCCAGTTACGAGCCAATTCCTCACGCTGGCCCACATCGTACAAAAGCCCGTTGCAGCTTTGAAAAACTACTTATCTAAGGCACTCATCTCAACTTCGGCTTATGCTCATTAGAGCGCTCTAAGAATGGGCTACCTAAACGTAATAGCTTTGCCGGCACTAGTTCTAAGAAACCGAAAACTGCACCAGCAGATGCATTTCACGCTGGCTCTTTTCCCAGCGATAGACTAGAGATGGAATGCCGTTTAACTAATTGGTCTGCTAAAGTAGAAAGCGTTTAGTTGACTGAAACGCAGTACTCAACTACGTCGCCCACTAGCCTTCTTGAAGTAGTTGACCTTTCAAAGACTAGTTTTTTTCTGAAGTCGTTTTTTGTGTCTATTTGCGTTGATCTTATATCTAAAACTTTTTTTGCACTTATTCTCTACTCTTAATCATGAATAAGAACGCTTTTCTAAACTGCAGCGTGATCCGTAGACGATCTAAATTTTTATGCAAGACACTTAGATTGTTTCTACGGATTTTTTCAATCTATTCATTCTAAGTATGGGCTTTCAAATTAAGCAGCTCAAGAAACGCGATGTCTCACAACATATTTGTTATCATGGAATTACTACGTGTTTTTTGGCGGAGACGAGAGAGCGAAACCAATGGCCTGTAATTTTTTAAAGACAGCATATTTCTCACTCTTTGCCCTCCACTTGTTCTATCTCTAATGTCATTCTCTCCCTTAGATACTCCAAAAAAGGTATTGATTAAATGTTGCTTACAACTTTTAGGAACGGTCTAGGCTTTACATTTAAGAATAGTAGTTATATTCACTATGCTCCACATATTGCTTCAAACCAGCTGTGATTGCATTTATAGTACTTTACGTTAACCAAGAACATTTTCAGATTATATTCTTAATAGTCAGTGGGATAAGCAGAGCAAATTCTTTCTAACTAACATATGGTAGCGAAAACAAAACCATGGCCCTTCAGATTCAAAAATTACACAGCAAGACAAGTAAGTTTGTATCAGTGAATACCTTACCAGAAACTTTATGTTCTTATATATAACCCAAGTTACCGCTTAAAAACACTTTTAACAATAGCTAACATATTTTTCGCTTATTTGAAATAGAGCATGGTGTTAAAACTTTTTCGATTATAAAATTCCCTTCAACAGTTCTACAAAATTTCATTATTCATGTGTACCGACCAACCAACCAAGTTCAAAAATTTCAAAATTTCAACAAGATTTTTTTTTTTAATTTTCTACATTGTAAAAGCTGTTTTCTTTCTGAAAATTCTTCAGC